TCAATATTATGTAATGTGTGTACTATGTACCATGCAAGTCTGTAAACAATAATGAATGCATAATTATGTTTAATTAATATTAAAATATTGAACCTTGCGGATGCAACGTACCTTAAACATAAGTAAAAACAATTTCTGAGTAAATGCAATATATAGTATGTAACGTGTGAGAATATGTACCATGCAATATGAATGTATATGCATCAAGCAAGTTTGAATAGGGTATAGAACATATAATAGTCATGCAAGTCAGAATATGGTAATAGTAAATGCAATTCTGCAAGTCTGAACATAACGAAATTAAGTACTATTAAGTTTCTCAGTAATTGTAATCTGTACTATTTAATGTGTGCAACATGTACCATGTTAATATTATTGTAATATGTAACATGCTAATTTTCTCAGCAATTGTATTTTTTTTTTTTAACTGTAAATTGTAAATGTGTGTAATATGTACCATGCAAATATACCCCATGTCTCAGTAATTGTGTGTAATATGTACCATGTCAATATTCACAGTACTATTTAATGTGTATAATATGTACCATTCTAATTAATTAGCATGCACTATTTAATGTGTGTAATATGTACCAATGTGTGTAATATGTACTATGCAAACTGTAAATAATAATTAATGCGTAAAGCCAACCTATGTGCTAACCTAAGAACCCAACTATACATACTTATAGTAAGAATTGAATCAAACAGGTGTAAAGTACCTTAAACATAAATATTAAGTACCCTAAACAAAAGTATTAATCAATCTGTCAGTAAATGTAAACTGCACTATGAAATGTGTATGATATGTATGATATGTACCATGCAAGTATTAAATAATATTATTAATAATTAAATTAAATAATTAAATTCTTAGAAATGTAATTTGTATTATGTAATGCGTGAACTATGTACAATGCAAGTCTTCTCAGTAAATATAAGCTGTACTATGTAATGTATATAATATGCACTATGCAAACCTGTAAACACATAATGAATGCGTAGTGTTAAACTATGTGTTAACCTAAATACCTAAGATGTAAAGTACCTTTAACATAAGTATTAATCAATCTCTCTGTGTGTAATATGTACCATGCAAGTCTGTAAATAATAATGAATGCATAGAGTTAACCTAAGTATCTAATCATGTATAATTAACGTAAATATTGAACCTTACGGATGCAAAGAACCTTAAACATAAGTCATATTCAATTTCCCAGTAAATGTAATGTGTAATATGAAATGTGTGAAATATGTACCATGCAATATGAATGTAAATGCACCATGCAAGTATGAATAAGCAAGTCCGAATATGGTACGGCATGTGTAATAGGCGTGCAAGTCAGAGTATGGCAATATGTACCATGCAAGTCTGAATGGGTAGCGATAACCTAAGTACCTAATTATGTCATTCTAGATAAGGGCGGGCGTGGTGCTCATACCAATTAACCGTAACGGTAGAGGGATGGTGCCCACGTCCTCCGTCACTCACTCACTCTTAGCGGTAATCCCCTCGGAATCTACATGTAGTAACCCTCCCAATCGGGAAGTTCTAGCGCGTTTTTATTTATTATATGTCCAAGACCATAAATATCTCTGTCACCATTGGAACTGAACGCTTAGGTGTTCTCAAGGTCGGCTATAGCGTCACTAAAGTGACGAGCCACCAATTGAAACCTTAGTACCATCTGCCTATTAACTAGAGTAACTGCGAGATTCCCCCAGTCAGAGGAGGACGGAGACCTCAATCGGTCAGACGGAGGCCTAACTCCGTAGGTGGATCAGCTACACGAGTGCAGCACGAGCCACCATAGAAACCTGTTGGCTAAAGCGTTTCTAGTGAAACGAGCCACCAAATGAAACCTTTTAATACGAGTGTAAACGACCTCGACCAGAGGAGAGGCAGAGTACCAAGGAGAACATGGCCGCAAAAGCAAAGGGGCTCCTTAAGTCGGGAACCACGCACCAAGCCAAGAACCCCACCATGTCGCCGTAAGCATAGCGGGAGGGATAACCGACAGCAGAGCGGGTCGTCGTGATCCGGGCAGCAAATGCAACCTCTAAGGTTGTCAGACATTGCTCTAGACCGGAAGACGGGGCCAAAGGCCGCGTTTATAATCCGGTTGGCGCCAAGGGCAGAGATATCTGATCGCCCGACACCTCGAGGACCCGGCCAATTCCAGAGGGCAGGCTACGAACCGTTGCATCTAGTTAATGGCAACAATGTTAATCTTACTTTAACATTGGCTATTCAATCATTTGTTTTTTAATTGCTTTTTTTTTACTTTTCGCTTAATACTAGATAGCGTTAGATGCTTTGCTTTCTATCATTTATCTAGAAAATTCTCAAATCTTTCTCCTTTATTTTTACGCAAGTATGTATTTTTTTTATCTTTGTCACTACTGCTACTAGAGGAGAATGTTCTGTTTAATCTTCAAACTTATAGACTTCCGAATACATTCCTGTTTCACTGATTCTTAGTTATTTTAGCATTGTCTTGATGCATTTCCACTGATTGATAGCACTGTGGGTAAAGAGAAGGTATATTCATATTTGAAAATTTGGTATAAAATATGTGGAATTAACCTTAGAGTTTTCCGTACACTCTTTAATTTTTATTTGTTGTTATATCAAAAACCAGCAACAATCATATATTTTTCTGAAAAACGTTCTTTAGATTCTTTAGATTCTTTAATTCTTTAAACCTAAAATTTTCTTACCTTTGATAATAATAATTGGATTTATTTTTATTGCGATCATTTAAATATACCTAAGATTTCCGTACTGTGAGAACACTTTTCAATTTTTGTCCGAATAACTGTTTCGCATATAGTATTCTGCAGCACGTTCTGCTTTCGGCGATATGTCGTAAAGAAAGACAATTCACGTTACTTTTCTTCGCCTTTTTAAGATTCAAATTAATATTTAGCACGTTTTTTACTGTTGACACTGAGTATTTTAATGCAGCTGTCCTTTGACTTCGAAGAGTTTCTTATAACATTAAAGTTCTAACCTTTGTAACATTCGAAATATTTCTTTTTTCCCTTGGATATGTATTTTGAATGATTTTTCTCCTTGAAGTCGAAATTTGGTGTTTTTTCCCTTTCTAACTGACAATATTACCTATCGTTGCTTTAATACGGGGAAATGCTAAATACTAATATATCTTTTCGGAACATAGTCTTCCGTCCATTGCTTCTTTAAAAGCGCCATTTTACATGAGAACAAAATTGTCAAATAGCAAACGATAATTTACACTTTCAAAAATGTAGTTGCTATTAAAAAATTCTTTTCCAAGAAGTCTATTTTTTAAAGCAAAATAAAGTCTCCTAAAAAATGCGTGAGGAGCCTCATAGCTTGCTGTTTAAGCAGTAATGCAGCATAATCAGGATTCTCTCTCTAACATGTTACGTGAACTAACAAGAAAGTGAAATGGGATATTCTTAAAAAAAAGCGTAATACTTCCTTTCTGTGAATTCTCGAGAGGAAGGGATATTTTATTTCTCTGAAAACGAAAATATATCTATATTTCTGTATAGATAAGGTTCTCTGAATATATTGCCTCTAGATATAATGTTTTCGAGTTCTAGTAAAACGTTTTCGTAACATAAAGAAATATTATTATTCTCATAATAATTTGAATCACGAAAATGGAGAAGTAAATTGTTATATTTAATAAAAAGGAGTGTATTCCGTCTTCTTAAGTAGACTCCAGAAAGTACACTGCGCAAAACAAAATGGGACAGTTCTATATCTCCTGTTCTACTGGGGCGATTGAGGAAATTCAAATTGCGTTTTTCGTGTCTCGAAAGCTCAACTTATGATATGTATTAGATTTATATATAGCATTGTTCTAATGTAGGTATTTTGACACAAAATCGGACTTTTTTCTGAAATGACTTGCCAATTTTCCCCATATTTCGATTCTACGATTCAAATTGTGCCAAACTGCCAAGTTTTGCAAAAATCGCACGAGTAGTTTTTAAAACATTAAGTGTCAAAATTTTAGCTCCTCTATGTTAATCCAATTTGGTATGTAGTTATTAATATCTCTGTTTTTATTACACTTACTTGATTCCTTCTTGATGAAATCTAGGTTTCTTCCAAATAAAATTTATCTATTTTTTGTGATTCATTTTTTAAATTAGTATATTTAAATTATTTTTGTAAATTTTTCGTTTTTTCAAGTTTTGTATTATAACCTATAAAATTTTAACCATCTTCTTAAAGTAGATGTCTTTCTAAGCACACCTGCAAAAACTTCAGAGTTATTTATTCAAAATTTCTTAAGATATAGTGAATTTATATATTGGCGGGTTTTGAAATTTGGCATATTAGTTGAAAACGATAACAATATCAAATGTGGTTTACGCACTTTGTTAAAATTAGTTGAAAGTAGGAACGAAGTGACTTTTTTCCTCTCATGCACAATGTAAAAAGGGAAAGGAGAATAGGTTGCCATAAATTCAGAAGTATGACAAGTGAATTATTTTTGGTGCAAACAGAAAAAAATACGCCAAGATAAATTTTTGGATTTTGTCCTTAAATTTCACACCAGACTTTACAAAATTTAATAATAAGGCATAATGTAAGCCGTAGAATCGAAATATAGAATAAATTGGGATGTTATTTCAAAAAAAGTCCGATTTTGTGTCAAAATTCCTATATTAGAATAAAGCCTTATATAAACCTAATATCTATCCTAAGTCGCGGTTTCGAGATATGAAAATAATTATAATTCTACTAGTTTATAATAACTGAACTTCTACGCGTTCACAGCAAATTCTTTATAAGTTCTTTTACAAATTCGGTGTTTTCAGTCTGCAGAAGAGAAAAAAATTTAAATTTTTAAAAAAATAGAAGATAATTTTAAAGTTGTATAATAGTAATAAACGTGTGTGAGGTCTCCTAATAAGTTCAAATTATTCTTAGTAGGAAAAGTATAATGTAGGAGATATGTTTGTATGTTTGTTTTTTAATTGTGTTTCTTTTTATCTTTCAGAAGGTGAAGGCATCGGAGCACGTCTTAGTAGTTGGCGTGTTTTCTTAGTCGTCTGTGCCACACCTGCCCTTTTGACCGTCTTCGGCCTGTTCTTCCTACCAGAAAGCCCGAGATATCTGCTGGAAGTAAGGAGAAAGATCATTCATTTCTTGACCTCATTATGAAATATAAAAGATGGAATAGTGACTAAACTTTTTCCTTCATGTGCAGAGTCCATGTTTATTTTATAAGGTATTTCTCCCGCCTTCCTAGCGTGCCTTCGTGGTGTAGTGGTTCTGCACGCTAGGCCGGTATCCAGAAATCCGTGGTTCGATTCCCGGTGAAGGCGATTGCTCATTTTTCATCTTGCCTGCTTCCAAAAAATACCTAATGTCTCTACAATTTCTTAAAATAGTTTGGATGATTAAAACTATAATGACATATATTGTGCTTGCTTGATAACATTTCGTATTTTAAAATAAGAAGTAAATATTTACAGAAGAAGATTCATATACAAATTAAAAGGATCCTAAGACGCCTCATTTACATACAGAACTTTCGCAACTGATAAAGTATCCTATAAAAAGGCAGAGTTTTAATTCTTTAGTAATACTACTTTGTTTCCTTTTTAATATTTTTCATTATATATTTAGTGTTATTATAGTAAGCATTATGCAGTGTCTATACAGAATGTTGGAATAAAAAGTATTCGGGCATCTTATTCATTCCGAATTAGCTTATCATATGTTTAGGAAATGTTTATTTAGTACACTCATACCACTTTTCTCCACTCTGCGCTTGCATGTACGTTGATGTTAATATGGTCGTCAATTTTACGCGTTTTTTTACGGCGTGAAGATTGTGAACAAGTGCTTTTATTCTTTTGGGGTCAGCAGTAAGGTATTATTCTTACGAAATTCTAAAGTTATTGAGCGACTACGGAGAAGCGCCATTTTTTTCCGTCATGCTGCGAGTCCTGACAATCATTTCTTTTTTCGACTAAGAATATTTTTGTGTAAACAATAACTGTCATTTTAAGTAAGATATTCTCTTCATTGGGATATAATTCATCAAATGCTGATGCAAGGGGTATTCGCGATGTTGTATGAGGATTGACGCTTGTGTTCTAATTCTTCCATATTACAAATCTGTTTCACATAACTTCACGAACTATCTAAATATTGTAATAATATTGTGCTTGGTCGGCAGCTTTATATCGGCCGTAATGATTATTACAAAGTAGCTACAAGTAAGAACTAAAATGTAGGTGTGAATTTGTTTTGGGGGCACTATGCAGTGTAACGAGTAAGTAAACATTTTTCTATCTTTTATCATTATCTGTTTTTACTACCACAGTATAAAGGAAAATTGACAAAGTAGTTCATTTTTTTCATAATTGTGTCAATGCAATGATAGGATAAAAAGCATTCCGGTTGCTGTATGTTTCATTTCATTATGTTTGGAAGTGATCAGAGAAGAGAAAATGTGAAAACCTAACGGCACCCTCACCGGGAATCTAGCTACACATTTTTCAATGTGAAAACCTAACGGCACCCTCGCCGGGAATCGAGCTACACATTTTTCAATGTAAAAACCTAACGGCACCCTCACCGGGAATCGAGCTACACATTTTTCAATGTGAAAACCTAACGGCACCCTCGCCGGGAATCGAGCTACACATTTTTCAATGTAAAAACCTAACGGCACCCTCGCCGGGAATCGAGCTACACATTTTTCAATGTAAAAACCTAACGGCACCCTCACCGGGAATCGAGCTACACATTTTTCAACGTAAAAACCTAACGGCACCCTCACCGGGATTCGAGCTACACATTTTTCAATGTAAAAACCTAACGGCACCCTCGCCGGGAATCGAGCTACACATTTTTCATCTGACAGTGGATGTGTTTACTATAAGAGTGTGCATAGCGGAGACGCGGTAATTACTTACAAGCATGTTTGGCTTAACTTTAACCATAGCGTCTGTTTGTTTATTCTTTTAGAAGCTAACAATTGCTATCTTGATACGGCAGCCAGTGCTGTTGAGACCGCACGAACCTGACGTGCTGTTGATACGTAAGTGCTGATATCACGTACGAAAATTTAATGGAACAGGTAACTCAGAGGCTATCCAAAGTGTTCATTGCGTTGTAGAATATGACTCACGTAAAACAATTTCCACTGTTCCTCATTTTCACCATGTTTTGGCTTGTTTGATGTTATTTTCCGTTATTATGACATTCTAACAATAGTAGAATATATTTATTTAACTGGTTAATCATGATCAAAATATTCGGATTATGATCCTTATTGGCATCTAGAAATAAATTGTGCCGCCCAACCGGTCAAAAAAACCACGGGCGCAGCCCCCAGCCCCCCCTGGCCGATGAAATCGGCCTTATGACTACAAGGGGACAGACCCGTCCAACACAGAAGCGAGGGAGCCAGTGAGCCGGCCGTGCTCAATTGATTATTTAAAGTTATTATACAGTTAATACAAATGCCAGAATTCATAAACCTCTGTTATTCAATCAAATTCCGAGAAACCAGGCCCTGGATCCGAGTAACATAAGGATTAGAATAATGAAACATAACAAAATAATAAAAACAAATATAAATGGTTACAAGCTTTTAACCCTTTTCCTTCTTAAGCTCACATACACACAAAAGCTAACTAAATAATATTGTAATACACAATGTTAGAACATAAAACAAGGCGCCACATAAAGCATGCATAAAATGAAACACACAATATAAAGTGTCCATCCAATTATTCATCCCTCTATTCCTATTATTTCTTTATTTTTATTAATTATACTAATTACATTTCTTGCAAAATTTTTCAACTTTTCATACTTAATTCCTACATTTTTAACATTTACAATGCCGTATTTAACCCTCACTCAACCGATATGGTGGTTAGCGTAGCTGATTGCTATGCCGAAGGGCCTGGCTTCGAATCCCGGAGTAGGCATCGATGTCCCTCCCCCGGGGTGCTCTTCATCAAAATTGAGGACGCAAGTAAGCGAAATCCTACTGTCACCTGTAAGGCGCTCAAGGCTATTGCCAACGACAGGCGTATCTTTCTCTCCTTGTCTCGAGGAATTTATTGAGCTTGGGCTGATGCTACTGTCAGACAAGTGAGCATAAGTAACAACAGCAACAGAAATAAATTGTAATAACCTGATCAAAAATTTTTTTTTGCCTTTGTTAATTCGCTGGAATAAAAGAAGGTAAGGTGCTTTCTCATCATCGTCAAAGACTAAAAAATGAAAAATTTTGCCGGAGCAGAAAATCAAATGATGGAAAAGATCAGGCCCAAACCCGTTATCTCAGGATCAGCTCTGTTCATCTCTGGGACATAGATCTGCGCTATGGTTCTTCTCTTCAGAAGTGAAAAATAATAAAGTCTTGAATAGTAGCTTCACTTTTAATAAACTGACTTAGCATTTGTGCTGCTCTGAATCTAGCTTTTAAATTCTGTCTGTAGTAGTTTGGCCTTTCTTAATTTTTTATTATGGAGTAGATGATGTTTTCAAGAAATGTCTCGATCTCCTTATCTTGTATCTCTTCGTCAGCTTCATTTAAATTTTAGGAGGTGAGGCAATTTTTCCTTTAATTTCATCGCTGTATGAAGTTTTCTTTTGAATTTTATCAAAATGTTCTTCGTTTGTATGTAGGGCTAGAGAATCTTCTTTTTTGAGGTAAAGGGCTGTATTTGAGTCTTTTTCAAAATTTGCTTTGTAGAATCTATATCCTCTGTTGCTGCTAACGTGTTCAACACCAAAAGAAATTAAAAAGCGATTTTCTCTATGTTTTTTTTTTTTTAAATGGCAAAGCCCATTTTGATGGTTTACATTGTTTGCAGCAACATTCTAGATTATTATTACAGGCATACTGAGTATTGGATACTAATACTGAGTAGGCATACTGAGTATTGGATACTGAGTATACCCACTGGAGTGGGTAAACACTGTGTCGGTCTTTTCTTGCGGAAATAGTTTTCAATACTCACGTTAACGGTGAACGTATTATTCAGGTTAAATATGGATTTCCGTGCATTGTTTCTTCTCAATTAGAGAAAATAAATAGAGTTTCTTAATTTTTGGACTTTACAATTGAGAATTTCCATCGTTCTAAATCATTAAAAATTGCTTTCCCGCTTACTGGAAAAAGGAGCTTTTTCAGGACCGCTCCAATATTTTTTTTACTATCCTAACGGTGTGTCTGAAAAAGATGCTGAAATGCATACATGGAAAATCGTATGGAAAGAGATTTGTTCGTATTATATCCTGAAATCTGTAAATGTCTTCGCATAAAGGAAGATGTCTTCATCTGAGCCCTGTGTTCGTCTTCAAAAATTTATCTAAACAGTTCATCAATGTTTAACCAGTCGAGTACATCTTGCGCGAATACAATGTAAGGGATATTTTCTTTAGGTTTGGCCCCGGTTTCTGGATATTTTAAGTTCTCAAAGCTACTGAAGTGGTTGCTTTGTGAAGTACCCATGGGTTCTATATTTTCAGAAATTTTTGAAGGCTTGTGTGTAGTTTTCTATTCATCACCTTTTATGGATTTGTTTCTCTTATATTTGGGGTCTTTTTATTTCCTGAAAATTGATCTTGCAGTTCTTTCTTTTCAGCTTCAGATTTTCATGTCTCAAAAACGCCATATTGCGATTTAGAGAATAGGCATCGTAACCTAGTTCACCTACCTTGTATTTTAAGGCTTTAACTTGTCCATCGGGCATTCCCTGCGAGAAGCATTTTGCATGAATGATTGAACTGATTTTCATGTCTTGCAATCTTAGGTTTTCTCTTAATTAAATGTTCCTTTTTCTCTAAATCCGAAAGGGTCTTCCTTGCGTCTTAAACTATTTCAGCATTCAAAGAGTTTTAGAAAATAAGTTTTTTACCAGTAGCAAAAATGGATTTAAGAATTCATCTTGTTATGAAGTCGTAACCGGTTCAAAGATTAGCGATCTTACAGACGCAATGTAATCGCTGGAATCATCATCATCATTATATGGAGTCCCATAAGTAATTTTAAGTTGAATGTAAACCCGAAGACTACATTAATAGAAATAAACGCTAATCAGAATCGGAGAGAACACAGCTGCGTACTACGCTGTTAATGGGTTATTGTATAAAGTACTTTCTCCTTCCTCTCTGCATGCCTTCGTGGTGTAACGGTAGCACACTCGGCGAGTATTTGGCAAGCCCAAGTACCGGCGAGGACATTGGTCATTTTCCGTGTATATAACTTCAAAAGCTCCTAATGACTACAATTGCTCGAATTTAATTAACCACTATTCATGTCTTCTGCTATAATATCTGTTGTGCTGTCATCATTATCACTGAACTTTTCTGGGTACTATTCGGTTTCGAGGGTCGTGAAAAATCGCCAAACTATTGTTGATGCCAATGCTGCCAAACATAATTGCGGCAACCCTAATAATTGCGCCAAGAAAGGAAGTATAATACTAAATAACTATTTAAGATTGATGTTTTAATTTAGATGAAAGGTTAATTTCATATAATACATTTTTATTATTATAATTTATATGAAAAAGGCTAAACATGACTGAATGGAAGCATAATAGTAAATAACTATTTCAGATCATTATTATAATTTACATAAAGATTGCTAAACATAACTGAATGGATGCTTGCATCGCTATTCCGCTACCGACTTATCGCTAAAGGATAATTTCATCTCGTTGGTTGTTCAAACGTAATTTTCTATAATGAATGATGCTTTTTCTTTGAAAGTATTCTCCGTAAAGTGCAGAATCGCTCACTTATTTGTTTGCCGCTTTTTACGAGGGTAAAAACAATTGGATTTTTGTCAATTTTCTTTTACTTTTTAAGTGAAAATAGGTCGATGTGTACATAGGTAAAGGTGTGCGCAGTGCCATTTTTGTGCAATTCTAGGATTTGTTTTAAGTGAAAATAGGTCGATGTGCACATGGATACAGATTATGTGCAATTCTTAAAAACGTGTCAAGCAGTGGGTGATTCTGCACTTTGCCCAAAATTCTATTACCGAGTTTTCGTCAAGGGCAATTCCCAAATTGTTAAATCCATAGGATATCAAAAAAGGATTTAAAAATTAAACTAGTGTTTCAATGGCGTCTTAAGAAATATAGAACTATATAAACTTACGCAACGCTAGTTTTGGCGCGCTGTTAAATGGGCGCGTTTGCTAGATTTGGCGCTTTTGCACGTACATTTTCGCTGAAATTTTTTTACGGCCCTCGAAACCGAATAGTACCCTTTTCTGCATTCATTAGTTACTACGTATGCATGAGTTAATGCTAATCAGTTCGTGCACACACGCGCCATTTGCACGATTCCTTCTGTGTAGGTGGCAGACTAGGAAAACCTATAACAAAAATTGTACAAAATAAATTTCACTATACAATAATTATTTCCAAGATATAATTTAATTTAATTATCTGATGTCTTGTATTATAGTATAATTCAGATACCTTGTATTGAATTACATGTAAATAAAAAAGCTTGCTACTTATTAGCTGAAGATTAATACTGTAGTCAAGGTAGCTTTTAAATTAAAACTGCTGCTTTTCTGCAAAATGAAATCTCTTTCGTTGTAAGATTATGCTTTCATATGTAATACATAGAGAGTTAGTTAACAGGTTTCAAATTTATAGCTGTTTCGATTTACCTAAGATTTCTGATAAAGCTATATTATTTTTCTCAAGTAACAAATATGGAGCGTTTCTCATTTACATATATTAATATAAATTTAGAAAAAAGAGATTGACAACAAAATAATATTTCTTATCTTGTATGTTCTTTTTTTACGTAACTGAACAACAATTTCAGTAGAAATCTGATCAGGAAAATTTTATTTTTTGCAATAAAATTGTATTATTAAAATCTCTTATTAAATTTTTGTTTATCGCTTTTACATTTAATTTTAATCATTTAAATAAATCATTATTAATTAATTTATCTAATAAATAATAATTAATTAATAGTAATTATTAATATTGATTAAAGCATTAATTAATGTTATTGTAATTAAATAATTAATAAATAGTAGTTATTAATATGATTAATAATTATTAATTAACTTGATAATAATTAACTATTTAATTTTAAAATTATTAATAATTTTATTAATATATTTACTTCCTCTTTGCTGACGGCCTTCCATAGGGCTCCGGCACTTCTAATTTTAGAAATTAAGCCCTGGTTCACACATAATTGTGTGAACTTATCTTCACACAATTATGTGAACTTATTCTCATATAAGTATAAACACGATTATTTGAAAATAAGTTCTGCAATTTTCAAAGAATGGAAGTATTTATCAGTCAAAGAAAGAATCAAAACGAGGGATGCATCTTTAATGAAATACCTATAAAATCATCCAGAAGCCTTTCTTACGGACTTTTACCCTTTCGGTTACTTAAAATAATGGCATCCAAGAAAACTAAACGTACTTTAAAAAGGATACAAGAGGAGTGGGATAAATTTCGCATAACAGTGCTAAGTAAAAATTTTCTTTCATAGAAATTTCGAGCTAGAACTATAGCCAGGATCAAGAATATTAGATAGAAGAAAATCCTCGAAGAAATACGCCATTTATGCTTAATTATTAATTATCGAATTCGTTTATGTAAAGTCCTAACGATCTTTTGTATTTAGAATTATTTTATATAGGAGATATTAAAAATGTGCATTGTCCTCGCCGAGGTTCGAATTCCGGACCTTTCGGTTGCTGCCCGGACCTGCTTTACAGTTACACCATAAAAACATGCGGTTAGGAGGGAGAAAGGAATTACCAATTAAATTAATACTGGGGGGTGCTTGGATCCAGTCATCAAACCCTAATGGTTATGAATTGTCGAAATGTTCGGAAGCTCCTTCCACAGTCTATTTAGAATATTTTTAAACATATGAAGCGAAAATGTGTAATGTCCTTTCCGACAGTCAAACTTTAGACGTTCCGATTGCTAGCCGGACGTGTTTCCCAATTACACCTCAAAGGCAGTCAGTATGGAGGGAGAAAAACCTTAAAAACTAGCTAACTAAATAGAAACCTAACAATTCCCCTGACATTCTCAAATTAATTAATCTCCTCTAGTCAGTAACCCGTGAGTGAAAAACTTGATTACAACTGGACAATGTAAGACAGACAACTCCAAATTAATTGTCGTTGCAATTACTGTGTTTTTTGTTTTCTATATAACTTGCATACTGTTCTGGATTGATTGCTCCTGCATATAGGACAGATTAGGACAAACGTAAAAAATAGCTATTAATTTTCCCAATATAAGAATTTTGTAAAGTATGTAAACGTTACCTTGTATATATGAGGTAACCGTAGCATGTATCGAAAATCTAGAACTTTGTGACTTGTTTTAGTTCGGTATTCACTTTATACGGTGAAATGAAATCAAAATCCAGAATAACTGGAGAAATTTTATAGTTTTTAAATTAAAAGACTTGTGCATTATTGACAGACGTTACGGAAATTTATAAAATGAATATATTTCTTACGAACATAGTAACAATCACAATTGCACCATTTAAAATTCACAATGCTTTTGAAACTATGTCTCTGTTTTAAAAATCAGTGCTGAATTGTTGTCAGAAAATATTTTAACGTTAACTGTTATAAATTTATTATAGTTACAACGATATGTTTAAAACCCAGTTAAAGAACGCTTATTTAATTTGTAGAGTTTAACGTGTTCAGGAATTATCCAAAGTGTCTAAACTCTTGGTAGACGTTAAGCGAATTATCGTGAAGTCTAATAAGCAACTGAAATTGAGAAGAGTGTGAAAGACTCTTTATTTTGAACTAAATAAGAACAGAAGGCACACTTTCTGCTTACAATTCAGCCAACCACTTTAGTGTAATAGTAAGTCAAATGTAAAATTTAAATTGAAATAAACTAGTAAATAAAAACTGCACAATTAATTTAACGCGAAGTTGTCTCAAAACTTAACCGGCGTGGAATTCATCTATCGGTATTTATAATGCAAGGCCGAAAACAAGAACGCTTATCTAAGGCAAAGTAGAAATGAGACCACGAGAGGCAGATCACGCTGTGTCTTACAGTCTAAACTCCTCTCTTTAAAAGAATGCGAACGTATTTGCTTTAAAACGGAAGGAGAGATATGGTAGTATATATCCAACACATGAAATAGCTGGTTAATTACGGTTAAGGAACCTCACAAATTAATAATTTAATTCCCTGATAAAAAGCTAACAGTTAGTTACTACTGTCTACAATTAATATCAAGTTTGTTTTTAGTCCCACATAATTTTAAACTTACCCTTTTATGATTCGCATTATTTTTAAACAATTAAATGATTTGTAGATACATTAGGTTAATTTTGGAAGCCGGAGAGATGAAAAATTAGCAACTGCCTTCTCCGGGAATCGAACCACGGACCTCTGGAATACCTGCCCAGCGTGCAGAACCATTACACCACGAAGGCACGCTAGGTAAGCCTTATATGTTTCCCTTTTTAAAGGGCGATTAGGGTTTTAGGGGACCTAGTCGCCAAATCCTGGGTGTGGAGAAATCCGATCCAACACCCTTTTAGTTCGGGCGCCATTGTAGAGACATTAGGAATTTTTTGGAAGCAAGAGAGATGAAAAATTAGCAATCGCCTCCGCCGGGAATCGAACCACGGACCTCTGGAATACCGCCCCAGCGTGCAGAACCACTGCACCACGAAGGCACGCTAGAAACGCGGGAGAATAACACTGCAAATTTAGTCAGAAATTTATTATGTTACAGTAAATGCGGTTGATCACAGTTAGCAGCACTGGCAACTGACACTTATTTTTTTAATCTTGTGCTCATTTAATGGACAATTTATGAAGAAATTTGTGTCCGAAAGTTAGTAACGATTGCGGAAATATAAAAGCTGTAATTTATTTTATTAGTTAAGATGTATTTAGTTTTTAAACTTTATGCTATATATACTTTATTTTCAAGTTTTAATTAAAACAAAAATTATTTTCTTCATGTAGTGTGGACGAGATGTTGAAGCAATGTATGTGTATCAGAAGGTGTTTCGTATCAATCATAAACAGTCTGACGAATATCAGGTAAAGTACAGTTTCCATAATACCACCTGTTTTAAGACAATATGAATTGAATTTGAAAATGTTTGTTAATTATCAGTATACTTATAAATTAAATGAATACATTATTCGGAAGGCATCATTATTTTCATATATAAATATTACACGTGTCTGAAATGTTTTAGATTTATAGCTGATTTAGCTCTTCTTTGTTTAGATTGCTTCACGATAAGGATTGTTATTTTTATTATTTGTGGCATACAAATATCAAAACTTGATTGTATATTTTAGACTTTGTTAGCCCATACGACATATTGCATAGATGTTATAAACTTGATGAAAGATTGAGGGAGGGAAGAAGAATCATATTAAAGAATTTAACTCGCTTTTCGTTTGTAATTTTTGAGTACAAAGTCAACTTTTGATCACTGTTTAATGTTTAATGACATAATTTGACCATTATTTCCCTGTTTTTTCCAAAAAAAAAAAAATAATATGAAAAGTTGATTCATCTCTGTCAACAACATATTACGTTATTATAATGTATTTCATCACTAGCTGGGTGCGTTTAATATTGACACTGCCAGTCTAAGATCTATGTATGTATTTTTTAGATTGCCACATTACCAATATTAGTGATTTTATACCTTCTTTGATAATATGTTAATGCTATTTCATTTCATTTATTCCTTAAAACAATAATATCTTTTTGCATAGCAATACAAAAAGAGTTTATATTAGGATAAAACATATGCGCTGGATAGTTTACTGAAGGATATTTTTATATAATAGGCTTTTGTTTATGCCCTGACACAGATCTGACGATAGTAGCACTATATTTATCTGGCAAACGATAATTTTGAGTGAATGCGCTTACCTATGTTTTTGGGTACTCATTTGCTATTGGCCTTTTCACCCATGCCTATTTCCTTCCATTTTTTTCTGGCCTAGTAATTTTTATTGTTTGATACCATATATTCATTCAAGTTCTTTAAACCGTACAGAGCACCGTAAACCGTAAAATTTTAGCATTCCTCACCGACATTTCCTGATAATGTTTGTAAATGTTGTTTCTTTGCAAGTTCCCATTTCTAGCAGTGAAGCAATATTTACAGTTAATTTTTTGCAGGATTTGAAGTTTTCCTAACAGACAAATACTGCAAAAGAATGTTATTTCGGCAGATCCCGAGATACGCTTATTAGTGTAAAAGGAATTAGTCTCTTACTCTAATTACCGCATGCCTATTAGCATAAGAGGAATGTCAAATAAAACATCGGAGGGCGCTAAAATTAGCTAGCGAAGAAGTAGCAAAAGAGGCAGTTAAAGAATTACTAAGTTCGTCTCTAGCATGAAAGCTTTTCTACTGGAGCAGACACTGTAAATAACTTTAAAAAAAAGACAGTGATTTCACTTTTAACAAACTTATTTTCAGAATAGTTTTCAATAAAACAGACCCCTAGCCATCTCACCTTCACATTTAAGCATTTTCCAAAACTATATAACCTGGAGTCTAAATCCTTCGTTTTCTCGAGCTGACTTAGACTGAAGCAATCAGCATTAAGAATTCCATTTCTGACAAGTACGGAAAAATTATGAATTAGTAACGGAAGCAAAGCCAAATTAAAACTATTTGTTCAGTAGTTCAAAACTCCGTCTTCGGCTGCCATCAAGAACTGAAATTGCAAAACACATTTTTATTTTCTACCTGCAACCTAGCTCAGCAATTTCAGACAAGCGTATCAAAGTTATTCAGTCTTATGGAAACACTAAGTGAAGAGGAAGTACATCTTTGCTCTTGAATAAAAGAGAGGTACTTGAAAAATATTTGTATACAGATACTGAGTCTAAAACAAGCCTCCACCCCATCCCAGCCCCCCCCCGAAAAAAAATTTAAAAATTATTTTCTAAACTGTATTAAAAAAATCTTTTTAAACAACCAAAGTTTATTTTAATTTTAAAAAGAATTCTTCGTAAGGCCGCTTGGCTTAAGAAATGCTGTTTTCAATTTCCCTTAAGGAGACTCATACACCTTAAAACCCATAAGATCTTCGAATAAGTGACTGTTGCAAGAATTAGAATTACTTATTTATGTTAAAAGCAATTACTTCCAACTTTTGACATCTGACTGCATAATATAGCTGCTTTCTGAAATAGTAATCAGAAACTATTATTTTCTCCATGTTTTTTGGCCACAAATATTTTTATAATTTAATCCGCATTGTGACAAAAGTTTTTGTCATGTTTCCACCTTGCGCGCACAGACATTCTGTCGCATAATTTAATTTTACATTTAATATATAGCTTTTATAACATTTGAAAACTACTGTGAACCAAATATTCTAAGAATTCCATGTTAAATTTTTATTTTATTCGGAGTTGAGTTTATAAAATGTATTTTATTAAAAAACGTCTGTAACGTTTTCGTGCATAAAGTTTCTTAATATTAAAATATTTATCAGATTTTTGGTTCAGTTAGAAGATAGTGCCCATATAAAGAATTCTATCCAATTTCAAATATGTATAATCAGCCATTTTTAAAATATCATGCGCGCAAAATGGAAACAAGACAAAATATTTTGTCACGAAGCGGGTTAAATTACAAAAATATTTGTGGCAACACAAACTTTCTGGTTACTAGTTTCCAAAGCAGCTATATTATGTAGTCAGCTGTAAAAAGTTGGAAGTAATCGCTTTTAAAATAAATAAAGCATCCCAATTCTTGCAACAGTCACATATTCGAAGATCATAAGGGGTTTAAGGTGTATGAGCCCTCTTAACTTGAGCCCACCAGCGGCCGAGCGGTAAAGACGCTGAACACTGATAGTTCGATTTGAGGTTCGAATCCCGCGAACGGGCTGGCTGCATGGGCGTTTTCGTGGTTTTCCCCATGTGTAACGTGTATACGAGCCAGTTTCCCTTGAAAAGTCCACCACGAAGGCATCCGTCCCTTTAGGCAGATAGCCCTCGTGTGCTTTGCCATAACTGAGTAATCCTAATCCTAATCCTTAACTTGAATTGAAGTCCTTCTTAATCAGTTAAAATTCATTAATTTTGCATTTTCTAATGTGTTTTAGCTCAGCGAAATGGAGCTTCCTTCTAGAAGATCTCCGAGTTCTGGTTTATCTGGTCCTAGTGGATGTCTGAGCGACTTCTTTGAAGCTTTCGAAACGGTAAAGTTTTTTTGTTCTTTTTTCTAAGATATTAGTAAATAAAACTTTTCCTTTTAGATGTGCCTATTGTCTGCTAAGGTTCAAATTATTCCTTCCATGCTTTACATAATTTCGCATTTATTTAACTTCAAGAATATTTAAACAGAAAGTTATAATATACTACTACTCAAAATTCGGTAAACTCTTGCACTTTGGTTTTATCTAATGTAATATTAAATATTAAGGGAGATTCGAAAATAATGCATCGTAGTTTTTATCATCCGATGCATTTAGAAAGAGATATGTGGAATTAATGCATGTTACTGTCACAGCATATGCTTTTATTAATGTTTCTATAATTTATGTAGAATCTTAAAGTTCTATGTAATGTTTTCAGTACGCAATTTATTTTATGAATTACTCTTCATAAAACTCACCGTCGGCCTGACATGAGTCACGTTTTGATAACGTCATGGAACAGTATTACGACATCCTAACCTCATTTGCATAACTGCCAGAGCAATTATATTGCTCAATATGTATCAAAATCTAATGTCACGTTGGACATAATAAAAGCACTGCTGAATCCGAACGCTGCACAAACTGTAAATGTAATACCACGTAACGCAAGTGTAACGTCATTTCTGAATAGTAATGTAAAGTCATATGCAATGTTGTATTGAATTACGTAACATAATATAGAAAATACTTACAGTACCGCATTATATGCAAACACTGTCATAAATAAGTATCTATGTGCCTGTACAAAAATCTCACAGGTACAGCAGGACCTCTGCCTTGAGCACCTATAATGTCTATATATCAGGTCTGTCTGTACGCCATCCTGAAGCTCAATCACATAAAAGCAAGAGCAAATATAGCGTTATAAATGTGTTCTATATGCAATGTTGCTCCTGACAATGTATTTACAGAGTTGAATCTGCATAATGTAATTCGTAAATGTAATGACAATAATGGTAATGTAATACCACTATTATCTCAAACCTCATATATAATGTCAATGCCGTATCGCATAGTGTCTATATAAGACATGCAATGTCATAATTATGTAAATATGTATATGCACAACACTATTTATACGTGCACTGAAGTAATTTAGTTGCAACCGCCTTCTGCACACATGTAGTGCATATGTACTAGCCCTGCATGGAAGCTCTCCCAAGTTCATTTGCGTAATTACAGGAATAATTATTATGTTCTATATGTACCTATATGCAATCTCTAGCCAACTTTAGATAAGGGTGGACGTGGTGCTGTACCGATTAATCTTTACGGCAAAGGGACAGTGCCTACGTCCACCGTCACTTATCACTTATTACTTCTTTGGCATGGAAGACTCGTGCTGTCTTCCATATGCGACAACTGCAACTTCCATATGCGGCAACTGTTTGAACAACTGCGAGCAATAGTTTTATTGAAGCGTATAAGGTACGTCACTTAATGGCAAGAATACCGAACAATCAAATATGAGTGGTATTTCTGAACGGCGCGAAAGAAAAAAAGAAAGAAGATTATTTACGTGAAACGAGTCTCTTTCCATATGCGACAGTTTGCAAAAGTACATGTCCTTTATTAGTCCAAAGGGGCGTTGTCCCTGAAGGACTATTCTTTTCGTTTTGCGATTTTGCGTCTAATCACTATAAACGGCGTATCACTTTTTCAAATGTTGCCACCAAATGTTAGAGTCCTGCATTGTATTTGAAGAAATTAAATAATGAATTATCTGTATACAAATGTATTGTATTTTTTCTCGTCATCGTGATAATTTAACAACGGTACCTAGAGACATCCAGTTTTGAATAACGTAATACTCCTATTGCGAACATGGGCATATGGAAAGCCCAAATTTGAAATTCGGAATTTCTTTTATTATCGATTTCATATTTTGTAACACTTTAACGAATTTTTAATTAGCAAACTCGGACAGGATTTCAAAGCGAGCAATGACAACACTCGTTAAGGGGGGAAAAAGCCTTGTTATTTTCAGCGCGCGGAGCTGTGTATCGGAAATTCTAAAAATATGCTCATTTTAAAATTATTTTGCGACATTGCTGTTGAAATGAATTTTATGGTTTAAGCGCAAAGAACATTCATTATATTTAATAAATAAAGGTAACACACAAAACGTTAAAAATACTCCCTTTTGGACGTAATTTAAAATCTGAAACCTTTCAGATTTTTGTCTTTTTTTCAACCTTTACTGATTAATTTTGCATACAAAGTTGCTCCAGCATCCTCACGTAACGATATATACTCTTAATATAATATACCCCCTTCGTATAATACTCTGAATGCGTACTAGTACAGTATTTTAGCCTTAAACTCATAATGTTTGAAGAATAGGCTAATTTTCCCTCGTCTTGTTTGAGTTTGCCACTGCATTACAACTGTAATCAGATTTAGCATGGCTTTCAGATGTACATAAGAAAACTTAAAGTTTCGCTATTCTAAAATCGGCAATCTGTTCATTACTATAAATTACAGTAGCACTGCAATTATCCGAATCAATTGGGATCGGACCCCATTCGGATAATCAAAAATTTGGATAACGGGATTTTTTTCCGAAGAAATGGTCTACGTACAATTTTGTTAATTACTGTATGTACTGTATGTGGAAAATGGAAGGAAAAAACTATTTTAAAGAAAAAGAAGTTTTAATTAATTAAAATGAAAAGGCAACACTTTTGCGTACATGTTATATAGTGTACTTACAAGTGCTGAAAGTCATTGCTATCTGAACATCTCGGTTAAAGCTGTCTGACGGACACCGTGCCTGCACTTAAAATTTCTTAGCCAGCCGTTACATGCTATAAAGGATGACCAGCCAAACTTCTGAGCTAAGATCTTAGTCTTTTCACAAGGAATGGGACCCGTAATAGGGTTTCCCATAGAACGTTTCTGCAAAAAACCACTTTCAAACGACATAGTATAAATTTTTGTTTGTTGCTGCCTTTATGGATCTTCTTGAAGAACTTCCATCTTCGTTTTCAAGCAGTGCCACGAAATTTAAAAGTTTAGGTTTGCTCCTTTTAATGTATGTAATTGTTGATTGACCAACGCTACGTTTTCGTCTTAATTTTTTTTCTAATTCTGAAAACGATTCGGATAATCAGCAATTCGGATACTCGAAGTTCGGATAATCAGCACTTCGGATACTCGAAGTTCGGATAATCAGCAATTCGGAGACTCGACGTTCGGATAATCAGCAATTCGGATACTCGAAGTTCGGATACTCGAAGTTCGGATAATCAGAGTTGTATTGTACATTGTGTACAGCGTATTCTCCTTCGCAACTCTTGGCGCATGGCTGCTTTAAACGGGTATCGATGCCACTTATAATTTACATGCTACTAAAATACGTGTGGTTTAATTTTGATTAAAATGTTAGCAGATTGGCTCATATATTTACGCCATTCGCACTAAACTCATTTTCTTAACCTCTATCAAAAGGTAGAAAATTGGAGACATTATTTTCATAGCTCTGCTTGTAGTTTACTTATATAAAAATCACAAACTCTAGATAAGGGTGGGCGTGGCACTATGCTAATTAACTTATTAAAGGGGTAGTGGTCACGTCCTCCGTCGCTTATCGCTTATATAAAAATCGACTTAATGTTTCGATTGGATTTATTTTCTTTCTCCTTTTTATAGTCGTTTGTGACATTGCTATTGTCACAACTTCTTAGAAAATTTCACCGTGACCTGGGAAAAACGTAACAAACAGTTCCTGCTCTCGGAAAAATTAATAAACCTTTATTAGGATAAAAAAGAGCTTAACGAAATTTTTGTTTATTATGCTGACAGATGTTATGTACACTTTTTTTTCAATGTTATATTTCATGCTTTTCTGTTCTCACTTTTTAACAATTATTTTTATTTTTTTATTTAAAATATTTAGTTTGTTTCTATCCCCTTACTTTTATGCCTTCTTTTCAAGAGTTATATAAATTTACCGCCAACTGTTCAGGAAAATAGCTTTGCCGAGATACTTTCCATGTGATGTTCCCTTTATTCCGTTCGCTTTGTTTGATTTTAGATTCCGGTTTTTGTTAGAGGACTAGATGGGTTTATTCCTAGAGTTCCTTTTCACGATTCTGTCTTTTGTTACAATCGAATGAGCGTTTTAAAATTGCGTATCGATTAATCTCTGATCCGATTAATTGATTGATAAAAACTGTTTTAAAAATCCTGACAAATAAAGGCATAAAAATTTATTCTAAATTTAAGCAAAAATTTTAAACGATTTCGAATTTAAGCAGTATTCATAAGGAAATTATCAAACACTTGAGAGCAATATAAATGATTACCGAGCCATGGTTCATAAAAATCATAGGAATCAATGGAAATATGTATAATAATTTACGTAAACGAAAGAAACATTTGGGATATATTTATGACATAAAATAGAATGTACGTTTCAAAAGCAAATAAACAAAATTTAAATTTCACTCACCTCTTAATATCACTTTTTCCATTCATTACATGTCACTCCCAATTTCATGTAATTACTTTATTAACATACGCTGAGTTTCAGACAAGGAAGCAAAAATTACTTGTTACTTCCTTGTACGAAATAAAGGAAGTATTGTAATCACGAAAACTTCCGGGTACCATATTTCAACGAAAATATCCATTTTCATCACTATCGAAGGGCAATTTAACGATGATTTAGCGTGACATTTGTATGTAAGGTCAGAATAAAGGACTTTTTTTTCCATAATCGAATTATAAAACTGATTTAAAATGGATTCAGAAGAGATCATTTCGTGGCTTATGTACGTAAGTACGTACGTATTGTTACGAATTTGGTATTTAAAAAGCTAATGTTAGTTCAATTATAAATTAAATGGTTTTATTTCTCGCGTAGTGCAGCGCGTGACGAATATTAAAAGAAAGCTAAGCCGGAAAATTGAAAATACAAGAGCGACTGCATTAAATAAATAAATATCTCTTTTTTAATTTAGAGAAAGTACTGGAAAATTCTAGCGCGTGATTTTAAA